TCGGCCAGGCGATGCCTTCGTTTTCGGCCCGGCTCCTGTCTTCGTCTACACTCAAGAGAGGACAACACCACGCCCACCACCTTCGACCGAATTGTTGGACTTGGATCCAAACTCCCCACGTGCAAGGGGTTTATGTCGCAAGTACAATATCAAGGTTGTGTCTGATGACAGCATTGGTGATCGCACGGGCATGGTAGCCGAGGTCGTTCAGGCAATTGGCAAAGTGTGGGAAAGAGCTATGGACCCCGAGGCTTCATCCGACCCTTCGATTAGGAATTTGCAGGCCGCCTTTGATAAATTGTTGACGAGGGGAGATGAGTTTACCGAGATGGATCGTATGGACCTGGTTCGTCATAGCGAAATTCACCAGGAGGCGCTCAGATCCCTGCCTGACAGCATAGCGACAACGAGCCATTATCGGTATGTTTTGGCCACCTTGAGGAGGGAGAAAGACCGGTTGCGTGAACAAATCGATTCAGACCGTGATCTGGTTGCAGCAATGGACGCTACTTTAGAAGGACTACGGCCATTCATCCCAGACGAGATCCCAGACAAGGGGAAGGGGAGGGACAAAAGGGATGGACCAGGGTTTAAGTAGAAGATTAGATCACAAGACCGAGGTTGGTTCGCTATGTAGTTTGCACCCGGGCACGGTTGAAGATACCCGCTGCCGGATAGTGCTCACATTTAATTGGTCGTAAGACAAGCCTCCTGGCTCAATTAGTCAAACGAACACCTTTTCAACCCTTGCCTTTCATGATAGGAAAACATGATGAACTACGAAGTGACACTGCTGAAACCGGACACAGACTAACATCATTGAACATGCTATGTATTTCGCACCCGGGCATGAATGACTAACATCATTAAACATGATAGGTTTAACTGACGAATGAAACTTTCTTGGACCGGGTGGAACGAACACTTTCTTCAGCAATCTTTTTCGACCGTTCTCGGGTTACTATACCGAGTTCCCCTGTAGAAACCTTGCCTTTCATGATAGGACAAGGTTTTGGTTTTGGCTTGGTGGGGACATCAATAGATGGTTGCTGACTGGGACCGGCCTCTGACTCCTTTTGTTTTGAAGGGACTGGTCGTTTTGCGTTGACACCACTTGACTTAGTGAAATCAAAGCTATTCGAAGCTTTGGTTGTGTCCGACCTCAGATTGGTTGCTTGAGCTGGTTTGACAGTGGCTTGGATAACAGCCGAGGCAGCTCGGCATTTGACTTTGCCTGGTCGGGCACTCCTCGGGCCAAGTTTGTAACCCTTCTCTAACCGAGGAAACTTGCAGGGTGTATCCTCATCAGTG